CAGTATGTGCATTGATGGCTCAACTTCATGCAAACTGATGAACCTCTCGTTATAATCTTTGAACACAGATGTAAATGTAAGCTTTCAGAAACATCCTTTCCATATTGCCAGAGGGAGGACACAGACGTTACATATGATGCACTCCAGAAGTATCTGTTGTTGGTTATACAGCAAGAAGGAGGACACACTAAAAATCTAGCACCAAATCATGTGATATATAGAATGCTGTCTGCAGTTTTAAGACACCCGTGGTTTCCCAGCTATGAACCTGTCGATCCTGTAGTGACATCTGATGTGGCCCGTGAGGTTTTTCCTGTACCATGTGAGTGACTTTCGTGCAAAGCCTGCAGCCAGCTCCAGCAGCACAATCTGCTAACCGAGACCATTTAGGAGTGGTTTAGCCTCGAGATAAGCTCTCCGGAGTAACTGACTTAAGGGGGAAATGCCAAGTCTCTGGAGTTACTAAATGAATGACCTGTGAAAAGAGCACATGTTTGGGGGTGCATGGTCAGCACTCGCCTCCCTCACCCGCAGCCCCTTTACCAAGCGCAGGTGAAGATCAGACATCCACATCTGGTCATCCCCTCCTCCCCGTCCACCCTCTCTTCCCCTATCCAGCCCCTGCTCCCTGTCCCCGCTGATGGGACAGGGCTGAGAGGTGCTAACCAAGGCCCAAGCCCAACTACTGAGTCCTTCTCTCAAAAATTTAAGAGGCATGGGTGGTGGTCACCAGGGGCTTCCTGAGCTAAACCATCACGTAGAAGCAAGAGCAGAACAAAAGTCACTCTGAGCCAAAGTTACTAGCCAGTAGGGGCTGTCAGTGAAGGGAAGAGGCTGGTCTGCAAAGGAGGGAGCAGAAGCACCGGGAGATGCAGAGCCAGGTGACAATGGGGGACAGAGAGCGGAGAGGCCCCCAGGGGAACCACTCACGACCCCGAGAGAGGGCGACTGACTACCGATCTTGGGTCCCAGCTTTCTCATCCCCACATCAATGAGGCCCCGCTCGTCTTCATTTCCTACCTGTGGGCTCCGCAAGACTCCCCATTACAGCCTCAGGACAACTTGCTCCTGTCATTCGAGCGGGCTGGGGTCTTGCACCCACAGAATCTACAAAGGAGGGACACTTCCCTGCCGAGGCTATTCGGCCTCCTGGGACTTTTGCTGAGTCCCGTGTCTGTTCCTTCCTTTCCCTTCCACCCTGTTCGTCCCCCAGGAGGTAGTGGTGTGGACAAAGCCATCAAAACTGCCTCTTCGGCTGCCCAGCCTGGGAAGTCGGTGCCCCTCTTTTCCACAATGGAACCTTCCCAAACCAGCCTCGCTCGGGTCCTCTCACTGGAAAAACCTTCTCTACTTCCCATCCCGTCTTCTCCCAGTGTTCTGAAATACTCAGCATTTCCACAACTGCCTGGGCATAGAAGTACTAGGTTTCATCCAATTTATTTTAAAAAAATGTGTTGAGTGTTTAATAAACGCAAAATTCCTTAATAGGAGTTAGCAAAACCAGAGATGAATTCGCAATGGTGTCAGCTTTCGGGAAGCGGACAATCCTGGGGACCAGGAGACGGTGCTGGTAGAACACCCGGGAGCGAGTCATTCCCCCAGAGGCCCCCCAGAAGGCAAGCTGATAGGAGGGGCTGCTGGTGGGAGCTAGGAGGAGGGGCTAGGGAGGAGGGCTCTGGGTCGTCCCAGGCAGGGCTTGGTGCACGGAGAGCACACAGCGGTGTGCCCAGGAGAGGGCACAGGACTCGGGCTTGGAGGCGGAGGCGGAAGCCCGTGGGGCCCATCCCGAGCTGGGGGTTGACATCGCAGGCAAAGTCGAGTCAAGGCTCCATATTTGAGGTTTTCTTTCTCAATTTAACTGGATCTAACCAGCCCTTACATAAGAAACGCTGTTGGAAGCCGAGGTTAATTACTGAAGGAAAGACCAAAGTGCATCATTCTCACCAGACCACCTTGACGTTCGAGGCGTGGCCCCCGACGCGGGACAACATGGCCCTTACGACACACACGGAGTGGCAGCATTGCGCACGCGCGTCTCATCTAGGTACGGCAGGATGCATCCCTCATGCAGCGCCCCAGACAGGAAAGGGACGCAGCTGTGCTCTGAGAGACACTGCACATCCACGCATGCCAGGGGGAGGGCAGAGGACAAGGAAGTGAGAGACGACAGTCCCCCACACGGCAGCAGAGAATCCCATGCCCCTTTCAAACGGGGACAGGCCTCACGTGGGGAGAGCTGGCCACCAGCCTGCCTGGCAGCCCCGGCCTGAGTCCCAAGCCGGGCGTCCCTCCGCTGTGGTCCTGAGTGAGTGGCCCTTACGACATGCTCTGGGCTTCATGTCCTTTGGCTGTAAGGACACTGCTAACCTGCCATCCTACCAGAATAAGACAAAACCACCTTCTTTGGGCCCCTGTGGCCTTCCCAACCACTCTGACCATCTTCTTTGGGGAGGCCGTGGGCACTGAGGCCAGGCCTGTGGTGTGGGGACACGCCCCAGGGCAAACCTCACCCCACCCAAGACACTGCCAGAAGAGGAGGCCCTCCTGAGCCGGCCTGGGCTGCTGGCTTGGAGTTGGGGGCCCCATCTGCCCCTCCAGACCCAGAGACCAGCCCCAAGTGTTACTGTGTGGGAGAGGCAGGAAGCAAGACCTAGCAGACGGAAGGCTGGGACTTGGCAGAGAACCACTGATTCATCCCGATTCAGAATTCACATAAGCCAAAGTACTGTTGGGTTTTCTTTTTCTTCAATTTCCAGGCTTTAACTCCTAGCACCTATTTATTTCCTCTCGAGACATTTTTTTTCCTGAAAAGAAATTCTCCTGCCTACCTTTCTGTTCGCTTTTCTGTTTGCCTCCTGTTTCCAGTTCTCTATAAGCTACTAAAGGAAGAAAACATCTTTTCAATTCAACCCAGGAAGCCTTGCAGCTGGTCTCTGAGGCTCTGGGCACTGGCATGGAGTTTTGCAAACATGTATGCATATTCTTTTTACTCCCCAAGGCAACCTTCCATCCAAAAGCTACCCTACATCTCATAAGTTAATCAGCCAACCTCAGAAATGGGGTGGGGGTGGGGGGAAATGGCCGGATCTGTCGAGAACTCTGTCATCTGTATGAAGACATCCCAGTGCTACCCAAAGCTACTTACATGAGCACTTTACTCATGACAGAAAGAAAGACTGCCTATAGATCCGATTATGCCTACCTACCTAGAGGCTGGGCTGTGAGTGCTTGTGGTCTCAACAGCCTGTTAGCACTAAGGGACTAGAACATCTGAGCAGGTTGTAGATGAGGCTGGGAGCCACGCGGCCTGCCCCGAATTCTAGAGGGGATTTTACTGCCCCTTCCTCTGATCTGTGAGACTGAGGGAGACCCCACACAGCCTACAACGCCCATCTGCAGGGATTCCACTGCCACAAATGGAGTCTCCTGCTCCTCAACAGTTGTTACAACGGTGGAAGAAAGAACTGAATCCATGAGCACACGTTAGACACACTATGTATCCAGCACTGTAACAAGCAAATACACAGGAAGGAACAGACACAGTGGAGAGCCTCAGTGCCCTGAAATCCGAGACAGAAGGTACAGACACACTCAGCACAAAAGCTAGAAGCAACAGAAGGCAGGACAGAATCGTGCGCAAGTCTGCGTAGTGTGATTAGGGCTGTCCTAACTCTGCCGACTCATGCGTAAGCGGCCTCTCCCCAAATCCAGCGTGGGCAGGTATTTCAGGGCACATGGCTGAAAAGAGACTGACGCCCAAGACAGTAGTGGACACAAGTGTGAGTCTGAAGGGCAAGGTTAAAAAAAGCAGCTTTAAGTCTCTTTCCATTCCGGGGTTCCTCCTGACCCTGCCACATCCGTGGTCGGAGAAACAGAGCTCCCGGGGCAGCATCAACCCGCTCATACCTCCCCGGGCACCAGCAGGGCAATTGATCGCCTTCGCTTTCACTCGATAACCAAGGTGCTGAATGCTGTACATTTTAAGAATAAAATCCCTCCCGTTTTCATCTGAAAGCTGCCAACCAACAAGGAAGATCCTCTCCGTGAAAAGGTGACTTTGAACCATGGGAGGTGGGTTCATTTCCCTGAGACTGAATTTACTCCCCTTTTTGTTTGCTTGGTTTTCTGCTTGTTTGTTTCCTTTGAAGACAGGCTTCTGCTTCCATTTGTGCGTGGGTCCATTTCTTGTCAGTTACGCACAATTACATAACATGCTCTCAACCGGCAGAGCCCTCCTCCCCCAGGCTGAGCCTAGTCCCAACGCAGTGCTGAGGACAAACACACTTTTATGAAGTGATGACATGGGTTTCCTCTCGCCTCAAACTGTGTGCATGGGGGTCGCAGGGCTCCTCTCCCATGCTGGCTCTGTGGCAAGCTGCCCGAATTCCCTCTTTTTTAGCCCTCCCTCCCCCAGCCAACCTGCCCTCTGGTTGGTTGTAAGAAAACACCCACAGATACAGCTGTATTCAGACGGGACACCTATATGGGGGCCAGTGTGTGCAAGGGAAAGATGGGTCAGGAGCCAGTGGAATTATACGCATATACAAGAAGAAAGGTTTTCTTCATCACACACGGAGGGCGATATATACCTCTTTCAACTCTGTAATGTACACAAGATTGAAACCTATTAATAAGAAAGCCTAATGGACTAGGAATGTGTGCCTGACAGAAACTAGCTTTTACAGAGTTTTGAAATGATTCCTAGCTGAGGCAATATGAGCAGCTTGTAAGGGAAAAGAGAGGGCGGGTATTAGAATGCCGTGTGTTTCACGTGATAGGATTCATTTACTCACCACTATTTACTGAAGGCCTCCTATGGCCAGGCCCTGGGCTCCGTGCTGCCTGAACACCCCAGATACCCCAGTGGAAAGAAGTGTCCTTGTCTCTCACCCTCTCCCTCCCCGGCTCCAGCCAAACACAGGCACTGAGGGATCTGACTTCCGTACCCACTGCCAAATCCCCAAGACAAAAGACAATGGTGGGTTCACATGGACGCTTACCCCAGCTCAGAAGCTCGAGAAGAAGTGCTCTGGGGCTCTCCATGGGCTCTGGGAGCGCGGTGGCTGTTCTCTGAGGTGCTCGCGTGTCCCTTCCCCTGGGACGGCTTGCTGGGGGGGAGGGCTGCCGGGCCATGGTCACACCCATTCAGCAGGCCCTGGCCAGCTCTGGTGCGGCTCCTCGCTTGCCGGTGGCCCTCGCGCTCATCCTCGCCGGGCGCTGGGATACTTCGCGACACCTTGTATCCATGAGAAATCAGGAGGTCTTCTACGCTGTACATAATGCCCCGGCTTCATCAAAGCTCAGCCCCTGGGACCGTGGCACTGGCAGGACCCACACTGAAGGGACAACAGAGAGCGGGTTTGTGAGGAGTCACTGATGCTCCCGGAACCGCGCCCGACACCTCCCGCTGCCCTGACTCCGACCAAAACCAGGGCCCGGTTATGCGCACAGCACGGTGCCCGCATCGGCCAGGAAGAAGCAAGGATCGCTCTGCCTGAAGTTATTCTCCATCACATTCAACCCGAGAGGGTGGCCGTGGACACGGCACGGGCCCCGAGGGACGTGGCGGGAAACCCGGGGGCCCCACCCTCTGCCGGCAGCCTCTTGTAGCAGAGACTGGGACCATGTTTAAGCAACGAGATGATTAACAGTGTCCACCGTTCCCTCCCCTCCCGTCCTCTGAAAACAAGGGGTGTAAGCAGAGAGGACAAAATAAACACAGATATATTTTTGTGTAATTGTGGGGGAAGCCACAATTACGCCTGGGAGTCTCTAAAAAGAGCAACGACTAGTGCCCGGCTTTACCTTATTACCCTCCGCGCTTCCATCCTGTAGCCCTACTTTGGCTCTCCGAGGGCCGAGCGGGCCCTGTCAGCAGCCGAGCCCTGACCCAGGAGGGGCCGCGGGGGAAGCCCCTGGACGGCACCACAGCGGGGACCCCACACTTCTCCCCTCCCCCAGGAAATCTGTAAGAATCAGATTTCTCCCCCAAGAAATCTTGGGGCAGCTTTTCCCTCTCTGAGCCTGGGGTGGCCACATCCCAGACGCCAGCAGGGTATATGACTTCAACAGCGCCTCCTTCCCGGGGGGCCGCCGTCCTAAGGCCCCAGCACCTGCCGAGAACAAAAGGAAGGGACTTGAGAGCCCATGTGTAAAAACAGGTGGGGCTGCCATGTTTATTTTTACACAAGGGAATCTTCTTTCCTGTGTCTTCCGGGGGTTCGGGGATGGGCCGCGCCTGGAAGAGCTGCAGGAGGAGGCCAGCGGCAGCCCCGCTCGGCCAGGGCGGAAAGCGCGCTGGCAGCCCCCGCGAACAATGGCCGGGAAATGCCTGCGGGCCGCGCACAGGTGAAAGGGAGACACATGTGCTTCCTGCCCGTGCCAATCCCGACTGGGGCCCGCCGTGCCATTCTGCTGACTGGGCGCCTCCCTGCTCTTCATCACGTGCTAGATGATGGGGGAGGGGGCCCCCAAAAGTCCCGGCCGTCAGCAGAGAGAGAGCATCAGACTTTGGAAGTGGTAATTTCCCATTAGGTCCCCACAATTCATGGAAGGCTGACGAGCTCTGGCAGTTACTGTACTGGTGGAAAACTCTCCAGAGCAATTCTGCCCCTCCTGACGCCCCTGCTACGGGTCTTGCAGGGGGTTGTACCACTTGGGTCATTCACGTAGAAATGGAAGGACCAGAGCGGCGAGCACTTATTCTTTGATTCAACAGAGCAAGTCACTGGACTAGAGTCTGCAGGGGAAAGTGATCCCACTACAAACACAGGACTATGGGAACCCAGAGGCCAGGCCACCAGGCCAGGGTCCTCATTTTGTTCAGGGCTACCCGCCCCCCCAGCACGTAGCACACAGTAGGCTCTTACAGATAACTGTTGAATGAATGCACAAGTAAGAGAAAGGGACATCTGAGCTAGGTTTGGAAGAATGATTAGGAGTTCACTAGCTCAACTGCATGCATGTGTATATGAGAGAGGGGATATAGATTTGGGGTACAGTTATCTCAGAAGTAAAGAAATGACATGGCGGGCACCTGGGTGGCTCGGTCATTAAGCGTCTGCCTTCGGCTCAGGTCATGATCCCGGGGTCCTGGGATCGAGCCCCGCATCGCACTCCCTGCTCCGTGGGAAGCCTGCTTCTCCCTCTCCCGCTCCCCTGCTTGTGTTCCTGTTCTCGCTGTCTCTCTCTGTCATATAAATAAAATCTTAAAAAAAAAAAAGAAATGACATGGCAACACAATCCTGGTAGCCTAGACCAGGGAGGGTCCCCACACAGGCTGGCTCAATGTCCCACATCCAGTGGGCACCACAGTTAACACTGGAAGTTAGGTTTTACTACACTCAGTTTCTCTCTCGTACTAGGTCAGGCTCTTGAAAAGCCGAGCGTGCTATCCTCCAAGCGGCCATGCAGCACTCAGAGGAGAGGGCCGTGTCCACCACAGAGCCAGCAGGGCTGCAGTCCACTGCCAGGGTGGGAGAAGCATGCATGTGGGGCATTCTCCTCCTGGGGGAGGAGTTGGTGCAGTTGGTCTAGCATGGCCACATCAGCAGGGTAATCCTATCTTGCAAACCCTCGAGTGGCATGACGACCCAGGCCAAGCCGTCTTCCAAAAAAGATTCAAAGTCTAAGAGCCATAACTTGACCTTACAGGTCTGAGGTCAAAGGTGTACTGATTACTGGAAACGTCTAACTTGTTCTGTCTCACAGAGGCCAGGTTCCCGTGGGGAGCGGGAGCACGAAGCATAGCCACTCCAGCATGCCTGGAGCCGTGCAGGTGAGCCAAGACGAGAGGGGTGACCCGCAGGCCCCACAACCCAAACGAGTGTTCCCAGCCACCACCCCATCCACGAGGGCTTCTCTCCCTTCGGCTGACATTCTGCACCCTCGGATCCCAACTCAGAGCTGGGGTTTCTCCTCATTTCCACAGCCCTGCTGAACATCACTGCTCCCCTGAAACCGACATAGTTTTTTCCGATCCCTATCAGATTCAGCTTACTTTCTTTAGCATCCTTATCTATTTAAGACTTAATGGGCTGCCTCAAGAGGTAGCAAGCGCCCCATCACGGACACATCGATCCCAGCGGCCACCAGAAGACGCTGACGTGCTGAGGAGACAGGCCTCCGGTGAACTGCTGGACAAAAAGCTGTCCCTTTTAAAGCTTCTTTCTGATCCTGAGATACCAGCGTTCTAAATCAACAGTAATTAATTGGATCGCCCACCCACCAGCTCAAACTCTTGCTGTAAAGACAAACACAGAGAAATCGGACATAAACGTAAGTTAGTAGAACACTAGATTTAACAACTTGGAAAGGTATGTGTACAGTTAAAATAATGCCGTATCAAGTGTGATGCTGACACCGTCCCAGCCGTGACCCCTGGACTAAGTGACTAACTGCACCAAACCACAGTCTTCTGGGCTGCTAAATGGCAATGCTCCTCTCTTCCCCTCCCACCAGACTGTTTTGAGGACCAAGTAAGAATGTGTAAAAGTGTAAATCAGCAAGTAAACACAAGATGGTGGATTTAGCATGCTACAGTGGCCCTAGTTTGTAGAGTTACTTGCCTTATGGAAAGACTTCACATCAGTTATTAATTTTCACTATGAAATTCAAACCATTTCCCAATTCCTCTTGTGTCACTTAGGATGTAACTTTTGATTTCCAAGGTCATGCCTGCTTTATATCACCCATATATCTTGGATGGATACTTCAATCTCCATCTAAGTCACTAAGAACAGTATTATTTTATATAGTCCAAAACATTAAGATACAAGTCCTGAGGGCCTATAATGCACCAGGCCCTGAAACTATAATAATGAATAAGACACATTCTTTGCCCCTGAGAATCTTACTGTCTTGCTGTATAGACTGCAGGAAAATAGGCAGAAGGGACCCTAACCTGATCTCAAGGGGTCAAGGAAGCTTCTGGAAGATTGCTTCTAAGCCAAACGAATCCTCCACCTCAAGGTAGACCTACACTGTAAGTATGATTTTCCAGACAGTTCACTTAAGAAATTTTTTCCTTCACTACTTTTGTTTGTTTCCTTGTATTGAATACTCATAGTGGAACATCTAGGAAGAGTGTTCACAACAGTGCAGGTGTCCAGATACAATCTCAGCTATGGGGGTGACATCCAGCATGGGCTGGACCAGAACACAAGAGACAAATGAAGCCACTTTAAATATCTTTTTCATCGCATGAATATCTAAATACCATTCATACAGAGGAAACATTTAACATAAGAACAAACAGGTTTGGGAGCCTGGGTGGCTCAGTTGGTTAAGCGACTGCCTTCGGCTCAGGTCATGATCCTGGAGTCCCGGGATCGAGTCCCGCATCGGGCTCCCTGCTCGGCAGGGGGTCTGCTTCTCCCTCTGACCCTCCCCCCCTCTCATGCTCTCTGTCTCTCATTCTCTCTCTCACAAATAAATAAAATCTTAAAAAAAAAAAAAGAACAAACAGGTTAAAAGAGAAAGCACACTTTATTTCATTCTATGCTCCCAGCAAGCTTCTAAGGTAACCATGAATGTCTCCATTTTACAGACAAGAAAACTGAGGCTGAGAGCCTGAGCTTGTAAGTGAAGATCTGAGGTTCAAACCAAGGTCTGTTTAGCTTCAAAGCCCTTGCTACTTGCCTCTATTTTAGGCTTGCCCATCTAAAGTTCCTTCCTATTAAACAACAGAAGTTTCCTAATTTATCCAATAATGCATAAAAATAAACAAGAAAAGATGGAAGGCATGGTGGCATTAAAATGAAAAACTGTATTTAAAAGGAAAAAAATTTCCTTTGTTCCCTTGGATTAGGATGGCTCTTCTACAGGATTCTTTCCTTAAGCACACCGGGCACACACAGGCCATGCGCACACTCGTATGTACATACGTGTCCACCCGTACATGCATACGTGTACCCACGCACAAGGCCTAATGCCTCGCTTGACTGTGATGGTTTGATGGCAGGGCTAGTATTAATTTTAAGTGCTCAGGAATAGGATTCATTCACAAATAGACTGTCATTGCTTCGTGACCTTGAGCAGACCTCAGATCATTTTTGGTTTCAGGCTCCTACAGAGCTATCATAAAACCTGTTGCATGACTCTGAGAAGCAGACAAACTACATCCATGATAAATGGGAAAGGAAGGGGAAACTTTGAGGAAAAAAAACCCCTAAATTCTAAAAGAAAAATGATCGATACAGAAATAGTCACTCTTATCTACAACATGGATAGGATTTGGACTTCGTGTGAGCAGGCACTGGTAAACCACAGAAGTGTTTGGACAAACGGGAAAGACTGTCTGACAGTCTGGCAGGAAGGTGGAGGATGAAAGTGGTTA